CCCCAAAACCCCAAAACCCCTCTATATGTCTAAATCTGGTTTTGATTAAAGTAATTAAAGATATAAATTAATATAGTTCTTGTCTGTAATATGTTTGATTTAGTAAAGTAGATTTCTTTAGAATATATTACATGTCAATTTAGTAAATTATAATTTAGAGTCCTTAATATGTAGATGTTGAATATTGGAAGAACAGCAATAATAGTATTTGCAACTGTATTGTTTTCTCTTGCAATTATTCAAAGTCAAATAGGATAATCTTAATATTCTATCAACCTTCAAGAAAAAGACGAAGATTAGAATTTAAGATATCATTTTAGCAACTAGTTAGCAAAATACTCTAAAAATTACAAATCAATAGAGCAATTCAAGAAAGGATTTGTGAACTTTTAAAAAAATTTGAAAATGATAGAAGATTTTAACGCTTAAGGCGATGGAGTGAAGTTAAAACTGAATAAGTTCTTTGATATTGATAAAGAGACATTAATTCAGACACAGGATACATTCCTAAGTGGTACTTAAAATTTTAAAAATATAAGATAAAGTGATCAAAAACTAAATAATAATGATTAGATAGCAGACGATCGAAAACTTCAAGGGACTGTAGGTCCATAAACTAACTTGCTAGAAGCTTTAGACTGGAGACATTAGAATAAGGTCTCTTCAGTCAAAGACCAATAAGGCTGTTCTGCAGGTTATGCATTCTCTTCGATTGCAGCTCTTGAGAGTAGCCTTATGATTAAAGATCCTGTTAGATATTCAATAGTTGATTTATCAGAGTAATAAATACTTGATTGCTCAGTAAATAATGGATGTGAAGGAGGTTAAGTGCCAAATGTGTTCTAGTATTCCTAGAGAAATGGTATCACTACCGAAGCTTTATACCCTTATGCTGGATCCTAATAACAATGTAAATAAGGGGTAAGAGGATAAATTCTTACCAAAAATTACAAGCACTTAGACACTGATCTCAATGTTTATAACATCAAAAAAGCGGTTTAGCAGCAGCCTGTATCTGCTAGTATTTGCGCATCAAGTGATGTTTTTATGTTTTATTCATCTGGAGTTATTACCTCAGGATGCTGTACAAGTGTAGATCACAATATTCTCCTAGTAGGATGGAATAAAACTCAAGAAGGGATGCCATATTGGATTGGTAAAAACTCCTATGGTACCTAATGGGGAGAGGATGGCTATGTTAGAATTAAGATGGAGGAAGGATCTTATTACCAAACTTGTGGACTTGCTACAACTCTAACCTATCCGATTTTACCATGAGTCTTGAAATTCATTGTCAATCCTCAAAACTTAACAAGAATTTAGATTATTGACAAATTAATCTTAAATCATAACTTACTTTTTTAGATGAACGGGGTTTTGGGGTTTTGGGGTTTTGGGG